AAATTATTCCATTGAACAATTTATCCCAGTCACAGAGTACACAGCAGGGGTACACTCTGATGCAGTGCCAGTCCATCACTGCATACACGCCATGGGCAATTAACCTAATTGCAAGTCTTTGGACAACAGAAGGAAAGCCTGAGGAACGGCACACAACAGAGAGTGCATATGCAAACTCCAGAGCAGAGGTGGAATTCACACCCTTAACCTTGGCAGTGGGAGATAACAGAATTTCCCACTGGGTCACCATGCCACTGGCTCCCATACGGTGTATGAAATAGGCTACCAGTCCAATTTGTTATGCTGCTGAGATTTTTGCCGGTTTGGTTCTCATGGAGGTCAGCATTGCAAGAGCGTAGCAGCTGAGAACTTTACGGGTAAGCGGTTAGAACTGCAGATGGGGAAGGAGTCATGATTCAAATGCAGCTTTAGATAACGGACAGGGACTTCACTGAAAGACGGGAATACACACTAGGTAACAAACAAAATGGTCGGCTTAAAATGGGATGCAGGGACGGTAACTCAAGAGTAGCCAGGGTTGACCTGAATACAGGGCAAACCGTAACTGAGAATACTAATGCAAACTACCCACAAGCTGGAACAAACACAGAATATTTACAATGAACAACAAAAGAACAAGGCAAGAGCAGGCACATATACACACTGATAAGGGACGCTACATGAGGGACAGGTGCAGGCCATTACCAATTGCCAAATGCTAGGAACTACATGTAATAGGAAGTAGGTGAGGGTAATCAGGAACAAGAGGGGAAGGAAACAGGATGCCCAGCAGAGACCTCTGCTGGTCAAAGAGGAACGTGACAGGACAGACCTCTGCTGGTCAAATGGGAACGTGACAGGACAGACCTCTGCTGGTCAAATGGGAACGTGACAGGATCGACTGAGACAGATTGTGACAGTAAGGTGAAAACCTGAAATGTTATGATTTGTGAAGATGTGTTTCCATTACGGAAGTTCCTTTATACCTTTATTCCCATTCTGTTCCTGAAAAATGCCTTGAATTCTAGCTTTGATGATAGATGACATATTGACAGGCATGATCGGTCATTAGATATATATCACTAATACGAAAGAAAGGAAACAAACCTGTCTATTGACATTCTTATACATATACCGTAATCCTGGCATAGCAGCTGCTGATCTTCTGGTCTGACTACCTGAAAAACGCCCCTGGAGCTGCAGGCTGGATCTCCATCTCTGGAGGGTACCTGCAGTCTGAGGTTTTTATAGAGAGATTCCCATCAAGGAGTTTTTTAAAGACCACATGTCAAGTGGAGAGGGCTGTTTCCATGGTGCTGTAAGAGCATCATTCTTACTTTGTTTTTGTATGAACAACTGTTTCTGACACTAGACATTGAGCAGGGATGTAAAGAATTAGAAATCCAATAAGATTTTAGCCTGCTTATTGATCCCGAGGCTTAGCTCTAATTGCATGCACAATATCTTGAATTACTCTTTGATTCAATGCTCTGAAAGCATTTAACTCTCATTCATTGGATTTGCTAATGTCATTTTGAAGTGTCCCTACAAATGCAATCTCTCACATTGTTCTGCTGGATAATGGACTATGCTAGACCAGTGTCCACGCGACAGCTAATCTGTAGGCTCCAGTGATACAATTTGCTGAGCCAGGTGGGGGGGGGGAATCAAGTGACAACCTAGTACTCTGGACAACAGGTGGCACAGGAACTTTATTTTATATGACTCTTATATGACCATTTATGATCTTGGAGCCATTTGATTATAATTGAGCAAAGACACAACTGAAATGAGCGAAGTTCAAGCCACAGAATTGTTACCTTGTTTAACCCTGATTTATCTAATTAAATACCATCTAAGACAATAATACAAGATATAAATAAAAGTTTCAGCATTTCATCACTATTTTGTTTATATGCACTATATAATTGAAAACTTATTTACATTTTATGCATTTTTTTGTCATTAAGAGCAAGATCAAGGGAATTTGATTAAACAAGTAATAGAGATACCTGACTGTCGGTGTGCAAAACACAGGATGAGGATGTAGCTTTCAAATCATACTGAAAATGATGATTCCACCGCATGTGAAATACTTGTTGACACTGACCATATCCAAAGCTGAGGGACAAAGGCTGCAGCGAGCTCTTTGCAGGCTGTGTCTTATATGTTGCCATTTTTGTTTAATTCAGGGATAGATGTGGTGATTCTTAGGGATTTGATTTGAAAAAAGAATTCATTCATTCATTCATGTTCTATACCGAAATTGTCCATAAATGTGAATGTGTCAAAGTATCTTTTACTGATAGCTTCAGATATATATGATGCATGGAGTCATAGCCTGAGGTGAATGGTCATAATGTAAATGAAAAGTAATATATTAATAAAGAAAATGTGAATTTATGAATATAGACAGCTCTGGAAAAACCACAGGAGACTACAGCAAAATTTTCAGTTTCACTCATTTCTCAATCAATGGACTTCAGACTGGCTCTTCCCTGCTTCTCATTAATGAAGGGCTTCTTCCTTGCTTTATGGGACTTCAGTCCTGCTTCTAGGAGCTTGTTACGAACTGTCCTCGCAGTGCACTTCACACCACTTAATGTTTCCCATTCTTTTCGAAGGTCACTCGAGGCACCGCCAGAGAAGTTGACAGTCATCTCTGGCATTCCAAAGTCTATTCTGCCCTCTACCTGGCTGCTGTTTGGTTATTGCCAGTGTCTCCTGCTTCACCTTCATCTTGTGTACTGCTATCTCAGAAACTTTCAGCCTGGAAGCAGCCTGCTGCTCAGTGTAGCCTTCTGCCAGCAGAACCAGGATTAAACCAGGATTTAAAAATGCAGATTAAAAGAATATATATATAGAATGGTCCCATAATTTTTTCCAGAGCTGTATACTGTATATTAAGACATATAAACATAATATATACATGACATTAAGATAGGGACAGAGAGACACAGTTCAGAACAGAAGTCTGGCATTGAAGCAGAGTGGCATTGAATACATAGCTTTGGGTTGGTGCCCCATCCTGGGTTGTTCCCTGCCTTTTGGCCATAAATTCTGGGATAGGTTCCGGACCCCCCACAACCCTGAATAGGACAAGTGATTACAGAATATGGATGTATTTAGATTTAGAGCTGTGAGTCCAGAGTTATCAGAGTTAGCAGGGTGCTTTTAACAGACCCAGTTTTAGGTTGGGAGGGGCCAGACTACTCAACAGTAGAATAGTCTAGGTGAAAAAAAACAGTTTTTAAGCAACACTGTCCAGACACCGACGCTTGAGAACCTCCTACCAGATGGCAGTGGGCCATGACAGGGGTGCAATGGCTCCCGGTTGATGTGTGTGTGAAAGGTGCGTGTGCCCGGGCATGGGTTGGCACCCCATCTTGGGATATTCCTGCCAGCATTGGATCCAGACCCCTAACCCTGTATAGGAAATAGGAATTCCCTTTCTGAAACACAGGGAGCAGTGAGCTTCTCCGCAGGGTTCAGTCTTGTCACTAGCGGAATGTAAGGCTCTGTGTTTCCAGCACATTCCATCACTAGCCTGGATGGTCTGGCCTGCCCTGGGCTGCTTTGGGTCTTCTCCAAATTTTGCACCAATTCAGCAAGTCATTGACCAGTATTTGAGAGGGGATATCTGACATCATTTACAGCCCACATTAATAATAACACATATGTGGGTGAGAGCAAGCATGACAGTGAAGGGCAGCCACCTGTAGCAGCACCCATGGAGCTGCGGGTAAAGGGTCTCGCTCAAGGGCCCACAGATGTGGCTGTTCTGCTGGAACCAGGCTTGAAGCAGTGACCTTCCAGTCAAAGTCACATAGACTGAGCCAGCTGAGCCACACCACACACATACAATTCATGCTAGACTGAAATTGTGACGTTTACCTGTGTTTACAGCTAGATAATTGACTGTAGAGAGTCAACATCCCTGACCAAAGGCACAGTTAAGACAGGAGCTATCTTATATACAATATATCAATATTAATTAATAAATTAATATATTGTATTAATAAATCTGTTATGAATACTTTAGAGGCACCGCTTGCATATGTGAGCAGATGTTAGCTACAGTAGTAGCACGATACTTAGCAATGTGGTGGTTATGAACATCGCAAGAGTTCAGGTTACAAACATGCATGAGGCCATTAAAAAAGTGAAGCAGAAGTCACCCTTGACAAAGACTTGACAAATCGGATCCAACAAAAAAACGTCCCCATGGAAGCTTTGCACAAAATGGAAATCGGTGAGGTCAAAGGGGCATCGAATTAAGCAGTAATATAAGATGAAAGCTTGTCGGCTGTCGTTAATCAAAAAGCAAACAATACTAATTCAAAAGGCAGTGAAAGTGATAAAAATTTGCTGTAAAATGTCAGGACACAGCAAGTCAATGGAAGGCCGGGCTGCATTACGGAGACACCAACTGTCACCAGATTTAAAGTTTAACTTCCACATGCAAGGTACCGGGGGGGGGGGGGGGGTCACACCCTTATTGCCTCCCCTGCTACATACGCAAGTACATTTTGATTTGTGGGTTTTAAGGACTTTCCCTTCCGGCAAAATGATGCAAGCTCACACAGTTTGGTGCCGAATTGTCACTTGCAAGCCTAATATAGAGCCACAAAGACCGTAAACCACTGTAAAACTTAAGGGCAAAGGTGATAAAGAAATAAGACATGGCAATACAATTTATTATACCTAAATTCGATACAATGACATTCAATTTGACCATAGTTAGCCTCATAAAAGCACATATGCAAGTTAATTTTTAGTGGCAATGACTTTTTAGTCTGATATAAGTGTCCACGAGAAGATTTTAAACCTGGAGATTCAGAGGTGTGTGGTTTGCCAGAGAGCGTATGTGCTGTGTGTGTTGAGTGTGTGGTTGATGTGTGTGTTTTTACTGTATGAGTGTAAGATCTCTAACTGGCTCTGAGGTGAACTCTTTGCTTCAGATTTCTTAATGTGGTTCCCACTTCAGTGAAGGCTTCAGAATGTCTTCGAACGGCGTCCTCCCACCCGGGTGCCCGGGTAACTCCACCGTCTGTGTGGGGATCTCCTGCCTGGAGCCCCCCAACAACTTCAACCAGATCCTGAGCTCAGTCCTGAGCGTGGTCATGACAGTTATGATGGGCTTGGTCATGTTCGCCATGGGCTGCACCGTGGAAGTCGCCAAGCTATGGAGCCATATTCGCCGGCCCTGGGGCATTGTTGTGGGCTTCCTGTGCCAGTTTGGCATCATGCCCTTCTCAGCTTTTGCCCTGGCGCTAGCCTTTGATGTGTTGCCTCTTCAGGCAGTGGTCATTCTCATTATGGGCTGCTGTCCTGGGGGGTCGAGCTCCAACATTCTGGCCTACTGGATGGATGGGGACATGGATCTCAGGTGAGCGAGCATGAAGATCTTCGGCCGGGGCAAACTTGGATCACAGGAACAAGCAGTCAAGTTGCATGTCTCTGTCTTTAGTATTAGCATGACCGCCTGCTCCTCCATTCTGGCTTTGGGCATGATGCCTCTGTGTTTGCTCATCTACACCTCCACCTGGACCTCCGCTGGTACCATCCAGATCCCTTACCAGAGCATAGGTCAGCCTCCCGCTAACAAACAATCCATAAAATCAACCAGAGCACAAGGCTGCAGCTGACAAGCAAACTATGTCATATGTCCAGGCATAACGCTGGTTTCACTCCTGGTCCCCATTGCCTGTGGGATGTACGTGAAGAGCAAGTGGCCCAGAGCAGCAAAAAAGATCCTCAAAGTAAGATTACTGGTGGGGTGTGTCACCGGGGTGGATGGGGTGCGTGTTTGTTCTTCTGGGAGCAGATGGTGTGAGTGTCTCTGTCTCTGTGATGCTGAAGGTCGGCTCCATCATGGGCATCATCCTCATCGTCATCATCGCCGTGGTGGGCGGCCTGCTCTACCAGTCATCCTGGGTCATCTCACCCTCTCTGTGGATAATCGGAGTTGTTTACCCCTTGGTGGGTTTCGGCCTGGGTTTCCTGCTGGCTCGATTTGTGGGACAGCCTTGGTACAGGTAACTACACAGAATCAGGACTATGTAGGTCCTGAGTGTGATATACGGGTAGCACTTCACCAATGTTGGGAAAGTTACTCGCAAGAGTAATCTATTACAGACAGAGGAAGAAAGTTCTGGTCCAGAAAGTACAAATACAGACCTAGTTTTTGTTTCAAACAACCATTTGATTATAAAAAGTCACAGTCACAGAGTACTTGACTGCTTGGTTGAAACAAAACCTTGGTCTGGATTTGTACTTTCTGGACCAGAACTTTCCTCTCCTATCAGTAATAGATTACTCTTGTGAGTAACTTCCCCAACACTGCACTTCACTACTGAGGTTTGTGGAACTGTTTAGTCACATGGTTCTTCTGCATCCAGGTGTCGTACCATCGCACTGGAGACAGGCTTCCAGAATGCCCAGCTGTGCAGCACCATCGTACAGCTGTCCTTCAAAACGGAGGAGCTGGAGGTCATGTTTGCCTTCCCGCTCATCTACAGCATCTTCCAGCTGCTGATGGCTGTGGGCGCCGTGGCTGGTGAGTTACTCATGCACAGTGTCTTACATTCTGTCTTTATGCTCAACTGGTTGGTTGAAACAAAATCCCAGTCTGGACTCTCTGGACCTGAATTACCCAACTCTGATCGTATGTTGCTTTCACACAAAATATCTGATAAACAAATGAATCGATAAATATCCAGGATGTAAAAAAGTGAATATAGCATCAGCACATCAGACAGACATGATATTTAATTGAAGATTAATTAAGCTTAATTAAAAGGTTCAATAATGTTACCTAGAGATGAAACTAAATACTATTTGGTTTAAGTCTGTTTGCCTTGTGGGTGATGATGTAAATTAACCATTGATTGCTTTGCCTGTTTCAGCTGATCAGGAGTATAAAAACAGATTTTTAACAGCTTTTTACCTATGTCAGTCTACCAGGTATACAAGAGACGATATGAGGGAGGAACTGAGCACAGCAGCTGCAGTGCGGAGTCTGCAGTGAAAGATAAGCAAGACTTTTCACTGGAGAATGGCGGCTTTGAGTATGATGAGAATGGTAACACTGGAGCCAAGCTAACCCACCTGTGAGTGAACAAAGACATGCCCTCACTCCACAGGAAATGTGGACAGGAAATGGGGGGGGGGGGGTGAATTATGAGGTCACTGATGTAAAAGTAGGGTTTTACAGCAGAAGCAGGTTTTCTGTTGCCCTGTATCCAGCTGCACGTCTGACTGGTGAACTTCAGACATATCGGCTGCTCTCATTGGTCAGTAGGATCACGACACTGTGACCTACTTTATAAGGAGTAAATGTAGCATAGTGTGACGCAGAGAGACATTGTGCATTAATAACTTTCATTACAGATACCTAGACCAAGAAGCAGGCTTGTTTTGCATTTTAAACTGGTCAGACTGGAAACTATTACTTTAGCACAATCATCAGCACTTATTTCTGATGTAATGTAAACTATACTGTATAATATTATTTAAGTTGAATATTTACCAGGTAGGATTTGATAAACTCTGTTAAAATGACTGAATAGCTGCATTTAAAAATCCTGTATGTCCATTAAGTTTAAACACCAGTTATTTTAACATGTTAAGTCTTTTTGTTCAGAAATAAAGATAACTTAAAGTTTTCAGGATATTTATTTGTGACCAAGACATCCAATATTTATTTTTTTTGCATGTGTATTTTAATCACTGCTGTTGCGGTTTTTGTTGCTGTCGTGGTCGTTTGTTGCTGTCGTGTTATTGGCTCTTGCTGGAGATTTTCTCAAATTATGGACATGATACTATGGGGTGTTCTGTTCATTTTTGCGTAGAAAATTAACACCACAGCAGTTTGCACTTTGCACAGATTGGGGGCTAGTAATCTGTGCAAAGGGAAGTCTTACGTGAGGAAGAGAGGAAAGAATGACCCGTGTCTGAAGGACGCTTAATGTGCTGCCTGAGGTGACCACGGTCTCTCCATTATTTGTTCTGTTAAGGGAAACTGCAGCAGCCTGGAGCTCTGGATTCCTCTTGCTTCTTACATGTGCACATTTCTTTACCTCCCCAGCTCACCTACTTACTGTGCCTTCCCTCTGTACCCAGTTTCTTTAATCATTTTCCCACTAATTCCTTCCTATAGCCCCACTAGCTGCACAGAATATCCGTTATTCCTACCTTTCAGTAGTCAGTGCGCCTAATGATTTCTTTCCTCGGGAAATGAGTGTCTTGAATAAGGAGAGCTTGCTTGGCTGTGTTCAAAAGCCACCGTGCACATATATAATACCGTACACACTGTAATAAATGGAAATGTCAAAATGACCAAAGATGCATATTTTATAAATTACAGAATATAGACTTATCTATCTATTTCAGGACTGTGTATTGATCAGTGTTGGTAGTAACTTGTTACTATAATTCCACTACTTTTGGTGGTAACGAGTAATGTAACTAATTATCTTTTCAAATTAAATTATGTATTTAAAAGTACTGAAATTTAAATGGACTCATTATTTGTTACTTGACTTTTGTAAAAATTTCAATGCACAAATTCATTTCCTGTTTTCCCCCATAGCTATCAAAAGCGCCTATTTCCCCCTCCTATTCCCATCTCATGCAGCTATTTTCCATTCTGCCCACAGAAAGTCTCAAAGTAACAGTCTGATCAAACAAATAGCACTATTCTACTGCTTCATGTGGCTATTGAATAGATTACTTAAACAAGGGCTGGAAAAAGTGTGTAAACTTTTATTTTTACTGACAGTGGGACCTCTTTGAGAAGCAAGAACCACAACCAAAAGTTTCCTGTTGTTGTTGATGAGACCTGCATAAAGGTTAGAGGCTGGTTTGGCCCATTCTGCTTCACAGACGTTTCTCAGTGTTTTGGGGGAAGAAGCAGTTAGCAGTTTTGGCAGTTAAGCTCTACTTGACTTAACTTGCTTGCGTGCAACGTGATTAGAATACTCCAGTACCATGACTAACAATGCAGCAAAATGGCAGCAATTGCTCAATATATTTCAACCCTCCTATACACTAATGGCTGAATTTGAAAAAATTGCTTTTACACCATGTGGATTAGTCAAAACATGATACAGGAAGTCAACCACAACTCCATTGCCAAGAAGGCTCAGTGGATTTACCAAACCTGCCAATGATGACCCAGTTCTTTGTTACTGTCCCTGGGTCTGGTTTCGGGAAACCCAAGTGAAAACTTCAGATTTTTCCACTGAAAGGAAGCTCCACCTCTTTCAAGCAAAGGACTGACTCATTTTTGAGATAAAAGGCAGCCAGCAGGATGTATTGGGGAGGGTGTTTGCTGGTGGATTTTTCCTGGAGTACCTGGGCAAATTCTTTGGTTTCGAATTTAGATGAGATTTATGGATTTTGGTTTATGGTTCTTGGTATTTTGTACACATTTGCTGCCTTTGTACAAGTTTGTATGTCCTTATGTTTTTGAGTCAATGGTTGTTTTTTTCTTCGTATCTTAGGTTCTCTCCTGTAGGTATTTTACTGCATTGTGGAGGGAGTTTAAAAGCTCAGTTGTACATTGATGTCTGCCAGTTTTTATATGTTGGTTACTTCACTTCTCTTGTTAGTTTTGTTTGGTGTTTTGGTACTAGCTCACCTAAAGTCACCTGTATTTCACTATACCTACATTAACCGCTGTCTTTAGGGTCATTGCCATGATGAATGTTCCAGATTCTGTTAAACTTCAAATCACTGAGAGATACCCTGATGTTCTAGAATTCATTATTCCTTCAATGACCATAAGCAGACAGCAGCCTCATCTATTCACAGCCCAGTTCTAGCGGCCTTTGTAATATATTCACTCCCAGACAGTAAGAACTGCAGATTATTTCCATTTATGTCTGGCTGGATTAATTGAGGCCCAGGTCTTTAGAAATGCTCCTGTAACGCTTTCCAGTTCAATGAGCTTCAACAACTCTGCTTCTAAAAATGAAGCCTGCATTTTCAATGAATTCACTATTGGTATAGTTTTTACCAGGAACCTCACTTTTACCCCCAATGCCGCCTAAATGACCACTCATTAACTGAAACATCTGACACAAATTCCATATAAGTCATTATCCTAGAGATTCACGAGTGATGTGTCATAACTTTCCAATAAATGTGACAAAGCACAATAGTTGTGTGTCGTTTGTTGAATCAGATTGTGTTTATCAATTTTTATGACTTAGATACAGATCAGACCACATTTTATGAGCAATTAATGCTGGAATCAAGTCCACTCCCCACAAAGTGTTATATAGAACAGGTGCAAAACAACTGTTGAATGACACATTCCAAATATGTATTAATAATAGCTGATCAACATGGCAGAAACAAAACATTCCTTTTCACCAAATCAACTTTTAAATCAAAACATTTCCCTTTTTAAAATCTTCCTGTAAGGAAAGTTCTACAGCTTAATTCAGGCCAATGTTTACTGCTTTATTACAAGGTACCATTTTCAAGATTACAGTTTTACAGGATAACTATTACAGATTACAGGATAACTATAAGATATCCATGTCACTGTGCAGACTGTCTCATGTATTTTGTGTTTTGATCAAACAATATGGACCTATACAATGAGAATCAGTGCATGTATATTTGAATTTATTTCCATACTCTACCCGCATAGACGTTTAGAAAAATACATCTTTTCACTAGGAGTTGTTGGCCACAAGGGAATTTGATTACATTTATTGAGGGCATTGGAAATCTTTCATTTCTATCTTGACTCAGTTCAATTAAGCAAATAATTGACCTTTTCAAATTCACTGAGAAAACAAAAAACTATAAGTTGCTGAGCTTGCCAGTGTGGTTTTAGTGGAATACGGAGCATCATAGGTGTCATGGTAGAAAAAAAATATGATCTCGTAGTAAATCGTGCTCTCGAGTTAGTAATTTGTACCCTTCAATTCATCTCCAATCGGAAAGCACGACTTACTAACTCGAGCGCACAAATTAATAACTTGAGAGCATGAATTACTAACTCAAGAGCGCAAATTAGTAACTTTATTAACTCAAAATCACGAATTACGACAATATTTTTTTTTTACCATGACACCTAAGGGGCTGCGTAGTGGAATGGCGTTACATTATTTTTTTATTTTGCCGGAAAACCAAAGATCAATCTTTATTCTCCAGATTTAATAAGGAATTATAAACATGTCATGGGCCGAAACGTTGAGGCCTCTTTTAAGTGGGGAATAAGCCAATAAAATCCCTCATCCTCCACTACAGAAAATTGCTGATCGTCCAATACGATCATCTACATTTTTAAGTAGTTCTGTCTTTAGCATTGGTGCTGCTAACTTTCAGTATTAATAAAGTTTAAATATCAACCAAGACTGACACTTCAAATCAATGCTGAAATCTTGATTTTTGATAAATATTGGCCAATACTGATATTTACATTACTTTTTACTTAGATAGTTAGCTACTGTACCAACCATGCCTACCGAATATAGTGGGTTATTTAAATATACATACTGTATATCACCTATTTATAAAGATGTAAATTTCCACATTGCAAATGCATAAACTGTATATGCGTGATGTTCATGCACATGTTTAATGCCATATTCCATATATATTTGTATGATCTGCTAACATTTATATTTATATATCTCAATCTCCGGAAACCAGGGAGGGCCCCAACACTTACTGCCGTCACATACGTGGGCTTCCTGTGTAACCGCCAACTGTTTCAGCACCGTCTGCAGGCAAAAGGGATGCATGGCTTTGTTATTCTTAAGTAAAAAGAAAGAAACACCACAATGCCTTTGCCAGCTCTTCGGAAATACAGATGAATGGTAACTGTGAGCACATGACCACACGGCTGCACCAGATGTTCTTCAGAAGCATCCATTAGCAAGCTGTGCCAGACACAGAAGTTAAACGGAAGGCTAACAATCGGTCCGTGAAATAGTGTGGGAATTAGGGGCAGAAAAAAAAATCATTTTATATGCGGAGAGCTGCTGTACCACCGATTTTGCCTCATGATTGTTGCCTGACGTCTCTCTTGGCCTAATTCCCAAAACATTCCGGAACAGTCTGCACCTGTGGGCTTTTCCTTTTCTCTTCCTCAT